TAGCGTGTTTTAAGGGATATCCTTCATTTCTTCAAGCAGTTACTCACATGGCTCATTTCATATCATGACTATTATCTTAAAGCGAGGAAGTATGTGCATGTTCTTGATTGAGCTCTATGGTGCTCTATGCTGAGGAGCAGGAGGACTGTATGATAACTGAACAGACCAACGCCTAAACCTTATCACTGTACTAGAAGAGTCAGTTCTTGTCCTCTTTGCGAATCAGTGGGTTGGAGATGAGGGTAAACGCTTTTCTTCATGATGCGTCCTTATTTCATGATGGTAGGACAAGATGCTGGGAAATTTAAGAAAGAAACTCTTTTTGGTGGTCAAACAATTCGCGCCATAGGATGAAGCACTTGTCTTATTGAGATTGAACGTCATATGGGACGATGGGCGCTCTGGGAAGAGGACATGGAGCGGCTCCCACAGTGACAGGCGTTCTTGATTGACAAGTGCTAGTGCCGTGTTCTTGAGTGAGGGACTGGGACTGCGGGTAAAAATAGCCGAGGCTCATCATCTGTTGCCGCTCTAGTAGAATTTAATATGACTATGACTCTGGGTCTGGGCGATTCCGCGAGAGTTAAGCGAGGTTCTGTCTTATCTGTACCTTGATGAAGAAATCGAATGCTCAGAAAGTGACCTCTTGCCAGGCACATTAATCAATCAGTTAATGAGAAGCTGTTCTCTGTACCTCAGTGCCTGGAGAGTGATTCTGTGTGTGAAAGCATGGAGAGCGGTGGTGTGAATTCAGGATCTGCATTTGATAGTAAGGCTCTGTTTGAGTAGAAGGCGTTCTGTCAATTCAGGATCTGCATTTGATAGTAAGGCTCTGTTTCAGTAGAAGGTGAATCAGTATCAATCTGTTTCGAGCACAGGCACGCACGGCTAACAATGCTAAGAGGCAAAGAAAGTATATGTGAAGATCTACGCGAAGTTGTGAATAAAATTTTGTCGAGACATAAAAAGTCTGTGCTCTTGTGAGTGGATTGCAGTTCTGTTGAGAGCAGGTCGATACGCAAAGGTCTGTCTGTTGAGTGGAGCAGAGTGTAAGGGGAATGTAAGAAGTGCTCGAACTGTGAAGATCCTAAACCCTAAATCCTCTCTTTCCAACCCGCCTTCTCAACCCGCCTTCTTATCCCATTTTATCTCCCCTTTCTCACTCTTACTCGTCTTTCGTTAATATCATTTTCTACTTGACTGTTGTGACTGCTGTTATTCTTGAATGATATTAACGATTTGATAAATTCTACGGAACTCTCTACAGCCATTCACTGTACATCAACTTCCTAGACGCTGAATTTTCTTGAGTATTCTTACCCAGACGGACACTCACACTTATTTACGACGACTTTTCGTCAACCAACGACGCAACCTAGCAACAACTCGCTACTTTCTGTAGTTAAACTACAACGATCAACCTTACCACAAGATGGGCAAGATGTCGATGAAGAAGTTGAACACCTTGGGTGATTCTTATTTTAAGGGTTCCCATGTTACAACATCCTTCACTATCATCCCTGACTCTTGAGAAAAAGAGTCAGGGACCACGTTCCTTCTGAGGAATGTAATTGTAATTCCGGAACCTCTAATTATTACCTCACGATCGACGGCACGAAGTATGATCGTGTCCTCTTCAACGAGCTGAAGGACTTCGGACGCAAGGGCGCTGTATCTGAGACGCAGGCCATGAAAATCTGGAAGGATGTCTGCGATGGCCCGATCCTGCCGACCCCGACAGAGATCCGCACTCTCAAGTATTTATGGTCGAATACTATTCCACGACCAACGTATTATAGGATAGTTCTTGAAGTTGTAGGTCCAATCCGAACCGACTAACATCATCAGTTCTTGAAGTTGCAGAGAAGTCGACCATTCCATGGTATTATGCCTATGCCATCCACAAACTCATACAAATCTCCTCTGTCGTCCTACAACTCCCAAATTTGTTTCATGATATACCCTACGAACTACACGAAGACGATTACGAACAGCTTCTTTACTCCCAAGCCCCAAACACGACAAGCACAAGCCCAAATGTAAACAATATCCGCTTTCATACTTCGGCTTGCGCACCTACAAGTACTCTCCGGGAGCTCGCGCTTATTTGATGGGCAAGATCGGTGGCGGCAGCTCAGGTGGATCCTCCATGAAGATGAAGTCCTCCGGTTCCTCGATGAAGATGAAGTCCTCCGGTTCCTCCATGAAGATGAAGTCCTCCATGAAGATGAAGATGTCCATGAAAAAGATGATGTCCGCCATGAAGATGAAGAAGGTAAAAAAATTAATTATAACTTTGTTTCATAGTGTGCTTGCTATTCTATTTATTATTGTGATCTATCTTTCCTAGGTAGGTTGGCTCCACCACAAAAATTATGATTGTGTTGGTTGTTCTTGTTGTAACAGAATAAAAAAGCTATGGTACTAGTTTGGTATACTAGTATAAAAAAGCTATGGTACTACTAGTTTGGTATACTAGTATACTAGCCTTCCGTTATTTGAAGACAATCATGTGACTCTGAAGAAGCTAATGTTTACAAGAAGTAAGTAGGTTAATGGTTACTTTTCTCTTTTTACATCTACTTCAGGTGATGAAGTCCGGCATGAAGATGAAGATGTCCTCTATGAAGATGGCCATGAAGGCCGCGCCCGCTCCAGTCGTCGTCCCACAGGTATGAATCTACTTTATTTTATGGGGTCGGGGTAAGTAGACTAGGACGCAGTGTTTTATTGGTGCAAAACAAAATCAAAATCTCGTTCTCTCTTGTAATTGTAGCTATCTTCTATACTCTGATTTTTCGACTACAATGCTGAGGTGTAAATAGCTGGAGGTAGAAAAAAGTCGTGGTCTTCTCCTCATCCTTTCAGGTCGTTGTCCCGATGAAAGCTATGAAGATGATGTCCATGAAGATGGCTGCCCCGAAGCCGGTCCCCATGAAGGCTGCCCCGAAGCCGATGAAGGCTGCCCCGATGAAGGCTATGAAGATGGTCATGAAGGCAGCGCCTGCTCCTCGCTTCCGCCCAGGCAAGGATGGTACTTACCAATTAATTTTGTTTCTTGTGATGCATGCGCTTGTATTTTAGGTTTAGGTATCGATCGTTATTACTATCGTGTAGAGCCATAAGCATTGACATCTGACCTGTACACTTATCAAGTATCAAGAGTATCGACTTTGTTCACCATCGCCGGTTATCATGAAAAAGCAATTTTTATGAATGCGTCTACTCTTGTAAAAATTCTTGTAGAAATAAGCTATCATCATCTTGATCGTTTTAATATATGACTACCCCTACAGGCAAGCTGGTCAAGGCTGACGTTGACTACTTGAAGAAGCTGTTCAAGAAGGCCGATCAGGATGGCGATGGCAACCTGTCCCTCAATTAAGGCTGCAGCAACCGTTTCCTTTTCTATTTCTACTTTTCTTATCCCCTAGCTACTTGTCCCTCACATGTACAACAACTACCTTTTCTAGTACTTCTCCTTCTCATCTCCTACTTATCCTCTACCAGATGTCTCTACTACACGGATACTTATTATACATCTACATATCTCTACTATCCTACACGGATACTTATACATCCCTACACGGATACTTATACATCTACATATCATATCTCTACTATCCTCTAGTACATGGATACTTCTCTACTATCCTCTACATATCTCATACTTGATTCCCTTCTTCGTCCCGGGCCGCAGCAGCCTCTTTGATACTGTCCCTACTTGATGGTCTTCTTCGTCCCTTCACTCTCCCTTCCCTCATCCTCATCCTCTTTTTAAGAGCGCTCATGTTTTTTCAGAGATCATGTTCAGATCCCTCTTGCTCTTCGTCCTCCTCAAGCACTAAGATCACATCGACTAAGGACATCCAGGACATCTTCTTACACAGACATTTATACTTTCACAGACATTTATACATCTTCTTACACAGACATTTATACATCTTCTTACACAGACA